GGTGCAGCTGGTAAAGTTGCCATTACACTTATTTTAATCAGTTATGTCAGAGAACTAACCTGGCAGTTTGAAAGTGGTAGGAGAGTCATTTGCATGAAATTATCAGGACTTGTAAAGTTCTTTAACGTATTTGGAAGTGAAGAGTTCCACATATATTTTTATAGTTGCTACTTTAGCATTGTATACAGTCACCATTTAAGCTTCTCGCAAAAAAACCCCAAAAAAACCCAAGCCTCATAAAACCCCAAAAAACAAACCAAACCAAAATAACCTACTTAGAAATTAGTGTCTTGAAATTAAAGAATTTGATTCTTACAGAAAAAGTCAAATAGAAAAGATTTTTTTACAAGAACTTCTACAAGATTTTCTACAAAAGCAGTGTTGTTAAATCTCCCATACCCAAGCTCATCCTCTCTACCTTGTGTGAAACACTTGTTCAGCATACACAGGCGGGCTTCTGTGCCAGGGACCAGGGCTGCTCCATGGGGTTGGGAGCAGAAGACCTGGGCACTGAGGGCAACATTGGCACAGGCTGGATTCCACTTGCCAGGGCATGCAGCATCCAAGGTGAGTGCCAAAAGACAGGTCCATTGGCAGCCTCAGGAGCAGCACAGAGGACAAAGGTACATGGCAGGCCCTAAGGAAAAAGAGGGTAGGCCTGAAGTCCATCTAGGAAAGAGTCAGAGCTAAAGCCAAGCACGGCTTCACCACATCTCAAGAAGGGAAGGTGTAGCAGTCCTGCGCTTAAATGATTCCCAGGGCCTGTGGGCAGTGGGCAGGGATCCCAGGTGAGACTGCTCAGTGCAAATATGGAATCTTGGTGCTTGCCAGCAGTCGTGGGAAGATTGGTCCTTTTCCCTGCTTCTTTGTCCTGGGCTTTCTTCCCACTTTTAGCAAAAAAAGGAAATCCCCAAATTATTTTTAGAATCTGCAGTAGCACACATTAAGCCAGACATTTTTACCTCTCAGGTAGACATTTTCTTCCCACCTGAAAATGTCACCTTGTTTACCTGTCAGTAGCTTTCCACCAAAACTGATGGCATCCAGGGACAGTCACCATTGACAAGTAAGACTCAAGAGAGGTAAAAAAGTTCATATCTTTTTGATTATGCCATTTCAGCACAGGGCTACACCTGCTTCTCACTCCTGGTCTATAGGCACCCCAGTCCTTTTTGATAGACTTACACTTGCCACATTCGTTTAAAACAAAGAAATACTAATGATATGTTCAGACTGGTTTATTATCCATATAAGGTCCTACAGAATGTCTGTGACAGGGAGTGGACATGAATGTGACAGGGAAAGGACATGACCATATCACTTCCCAAGCAGTAGATCAAGGTTCTCAAAAATAAGCCATCTCCCTTTTATTGAGATTTTTTATTATTTATTGCTGTAAGAAAACTAGTCTGAGTCATCATGGTTTACTTGCTCTTTGATTAGAGCTACAGCTCTTTAGGTTTGACTTAAAATTTTCTGTGATATTTATGATGGGTTTCTTAATTTTTTTGTCTTGGGAGATTCATAGGTGAGCTTCAAAACTGTAAAGCAATGTATTTATGTGGCTGAAGCTCAGATACTAATGCTTTCCATACCCTTTACTGAAAGGTCATCTTGATTGCTACTCTAAATTCCATGACTAACCTTTTAAAGAAGGAGGATTGCCAAAACACAGGGAGACATACCAAGAGAAACCAAAATTATCCCTTTCTAATAATTTTTGAGAAAATGGTGAACATTTCACTGCCTGAACTTCTAATCTACACAGCATGAAAAGTGCAGCTTGCCTGTAGCATGTGTGCATTTCCCATGACTGCCAAAGCACAGTGAACAGAAAAGGAGGAGACTGATATGTTTGTTATTTCCTTTATTAAAGAAAATAAGAGGAAACTGGAAATTTCTAAGACTTACATTGTACTGGCAAATTCCTGGTAAGAGACCCATACATTAAACTGTGAGGAAGAGCCTGCTGGAGGGGGTCAGCCCTTGCTCAGTTGCTTGGTTTGTAGGTGGAGTCCTGTATTTGATAGCAATACTGGTGGTGCTGTGCACCATAATAACTCTACACTGTTCTTTACAGAGTCCAGTTTCAAAGAAAAAATACTCCCCATGTTCCAGTGAAAATCAAATTTCCCAAGCTTAGCTTTGGAGATGCAGCAGTGTGTATGCAAATGTCAGCTACAATATTGCTGTGCTGAAGGGCATGAACTCTGCAGCAGCTCTGCAGCCTGTTTGATGAGCAGAGTGTTTGTCCCACTGATCTCAGTCACCGTGAGCCAACACAGAGGGGAGTTTTGTTATTGGTGCTCCTTCTCTGCGTTTGGGGTGGAAAGAGTGATATTGAGAATTCTGTTTCACCTTCTGCGACCGTTTGCCTGACCTTTTATAATATCTTTCTATATATATATATTAGCCAATTTCAATCAAATCTGACAAAAGGGGTGAGGTCTCATTGGGATTCTGTTCCTGATCTCCTGAGAGGCAGAAAATAAGGAAAATAGTTATTTTCATTCAGATATCAGCTAGCTGATTAAGAGCCTCATGCCTACCCACTGTGAATAATTCTAACCCAGTCTCAGCACAACTCAGGGAAAGATAAATAAGGAACAGAAGAGGAAGCAAAGAATCCTGGTATGAAGCTGAGAAAAGGTGACGACAAGCATCAGAAGGTGACTTGAGATATTTATTTCCTTTAAATGAGAGGAAAGTTACAAATCTGCTGGAAATGCAGCTCTGTTAGTTCCCCCACTCAAAAGCAGCTTGTTTTCTATTAAATGAATTACAAAATATTCTCATCATAATTAATAATTAAATTTCAATTAACTATTAAAAAATGTCCTTTCCTACAATGTAGCTACATGAAGATTATTTTTATTGAGACTGATGATCTCACAGTGGAAATGCAGGGAAATTTAATGCAGATATTAATTTGTGCAGCTGCAGCAATGTAGAGGTGTTTTGTATGTTTATGATAACCCTTCTTGCTATTAGTACCTTCTGTAAAGATGGATGGAAAAAGTCCAAATGATGAATCTCGCCTCTTTTACTCATTGCAAATGAGAACTGCAGGCAGTTATCTGCTGTAACCTTGTTGTGACAAGGATTGTCACTCAGAGATATACAGATCCTTCTGGATACAGTGCTTTGAACAGTCTGCTGAAATAAATTACAAGAATCTCAAAGGTTTTCATAGACATCAGTTTTATCAGTGCTCCAGCCCTAAGGCTAAAGATATTTTCTACAGTTCCCTTACTTTCGGTAATAAGAATGTGGAAAGAGAATAAAGAGACAATTTTATAAAAGTGTGTTTTTAATACCACTAATGCAGACTTTTTCAAAATGGTGGGAAAAACTAAACAGAGTGGGAAGGCTAAATGACTTCATGCTTTTCTAATCAGTATTATTAAACATAGCTGGTACAGGATAGGAAATTGTGCAATTTTCTCCGAAAGGTTAGAAACTTAAAAATGAATAAAAATCCCCTCCTTCATTTAAATTGCTAATATTTGGAATTAATTGCCCCATGATCCTGGCTGGCAGACTATGTATATGCACAATTTCTGAGCAGAAAATAAAAATCAAGTTTAGTCATATTTACTGAACTGGCAATTTTTTGGTTTTGTTTTTGTTTTTGTTGTTATTAATTGTCTTGTATGGTTCTTGGAAAGTCAATCCTTTTGCTTACAAAAAATATTTGCACACTTAACACAGTATTTATTGCCCATATTCTTTACCAAATACAACCATCAAATATTTTCTCATCTGGATAAACATATAATTTCACAGCATCTTAGAAATTACAAGTGAAGGAACAACATGAAACCCTTAAACACAACCAGCATTCCCTTGGCAGGTCCAGTATCAGATACGAACTTAAAAAAAAAATTTTTTTTTTTTGCAAATAAAGAGCTCTGGGGCCTCTTTATCGTCTGTTTATAGTTTGACTATTCAGTCTTTAACATTTGTAATAAAGAGGCTCCATCGCTTCTTATGTCATTGCATTCCTCTCCTTTGATTTCTCTAGGACTTGTACACATGTACAGGGTAGAAGCCTAGTGATTAGTAAGAAGAAATATAATTATGAGACATAGTTCTTTATTTCCTTTCACTTTTAGTAGAGATAAGTAGAAAAGTGAATAAAAAGAAGTTTAAATCCACCAGAGTTACTAGGAACTAATTTTGCTCAGATCCTTCAGCTACTGGAGGTCCAGTGCTGAGGCATGTTGCTGAGTTGCCCAACTTCATTTAAACTTTCATATAATGATATTTGAAATTTGATTATTCTATTTTTCATGCAATTTTCTCTTGGTTTTCCTTCCTGGGTTTTTTTGGTGGGTTTTTTTGTTGTTGTTTGGTTGGTTTTTTTGGGTTTTTGTTTTGTTTTGTTTTGTTTTGTTTTTTTAAGGGTGGGAGGAGTGATCTGAATATTTATGTTTTTGCTGTATAGGATTCTTGCACGTGGGATGGTACCAGTTATTTGCAGGTATTTAAGTGGTAGCTTGCTTGAGATCAGTGAAACTCAGGAGCCAACTAACCATAAAATCCTCTAGAAATGATCAAGCATTCAAAATGGTGTACTTTCCTCTTCATTTACAGATCTTTGTGAGGTAATATTTGTATCCCATTGACCTATGTCTTTTGTGGTCATAGAGAAGAGCATTCTGTGCTTTCAATGCCCATGCCTAATATGTTCCAAGACTGAAAGCTTTGAAGATTTAACTAACCTTCTGTCTGGGACTCTTAAAATTTGTCATTCATGTTATATGTTCTTTGAAACTCCTCCACATGGGAATCCCACGGGGTAGGTTGACTCCTTGAAGAACAGTAGCAATAATACTTACAGTAAAATAAAAATAAAAACCATTTTCACAGAGGCATTAGACATAATTTTCCCTCTTTTGCATTTTACAAAATTACAGCATAGATATTAATGACTAGCCTAAGACAATAAAAAATTCAGAGGCTGACTTGAAATGAAGTCTGATTCTTCTCATTTTCAGGCATCTGCCCTCTACAGTGAGCCATTATCTACATGAATCCAGGTATGGATTTTGTTATTGCTAACATGAATATGAGTTGCATGAGTATAATATGATGTTAAATTCAGTGTATTGTATAAAGAAAATAATTACAGTAAGGCTTATTGTTGTGCATGGAAGGAGTTATTACTTCAGACTCAGCCATGCATTGCACATGGATTGTATATTAGATTCATTTCCAAAAGATGAGTGATATTTAATGGAGCTGTTTTACATTAAATGTAGCTTTGGGAGGTCTAATGAGCAACTACAGCAGACTCCATGGGAATTTTGAGACAGAGAGCAGAAGTAACAGATGCTGCATGCTTCAAAAGAGATATTTTAATCAAATGTGATTTTCATTGTGCAACAATGATGTGGCTCATCACAGAAAAAAAAATCTGGCTGGTTAACAGGCAATATACATAAGTACCAAATATGCACAGTATATATGTAAGTACATAAATATGTATAATAGAGAAAAGTTCTGGATATGCTCTCAGAGATTTGACCCATAGATTCTGTTTTATTCCAAGAAAACATGGGATTGAGATGCTTTAAGTCAGCTAATAGCATAGCTAAATATAACATGCTTCTTTTCTCTTTCTGTTTGTTAATTTAGACCTCTGCATTATTAATTTAGGCCTCTACATTAAAGAAAAAAACCCAACAAATTTTTATGTATATGCAGTTATTTCCTCATTTCATTCCTTAGGGAAGAAAGCAGCTGTCTTCTGTAAGATACACTCTTTAGTTTCCAACTTCAGTATCCAAAATACTGTAGCAAAAGACCTGAGAAGATGAAGTTCTGAGTAATAGGTTTTTATAGACCACTGCAACAGTTTGCTTTTACTATTGTGTTTCAGAAATATGTTTGAACTTCAGCTGACCTCAAATGAATCTGAAAGTCTTATAGCAGTGACCTTCAATTTTAGTGTGGACTAATGAACTACTTGCTTTTCCTAGGCTGCTGCCATAAAATACAGCACTTCTTGAAGAAAAATACACTAGCTGATAATGAGGCCACAAACTCTATGTCTAGATGAGTGCCAGCCTAATAGGCAAATAAGAGCTTTACAACTTTGACTTTCCTGTGTCAAATATTTGCCTCTTACAAAGACAATCAAATGAAAATCTGGCAATAAACTATTATTTCTTTTGGTCCTTACAAAAACAGAGGAGGCTCAAGAAAGTTCTTTATCTTCTTTGAGATACATATGTTTTAAACAGAGAACTACATATATATTATTGAAAGTGTTTTTCATTTGGTTAGGTTAAGAGAAAAAAGAAACATTCAGACTATAAACACAGCTCCAAGTTTGTAAATTTTATTTGGTGCACTGGCAATTCTTTAAAATTTGTCTTATTTTTATGAGTATGTGTCATGGTTTGACGCTGGCACAATGCCAGCGCCTTATGAAAATATAACTTACTAATTAAATGCTGTTAAATTCGATTGAGGACAGAGCAAAGCAGGCTAAACTTAATAACAAAGGAAAAATTTTATTACACTACTACTACTATTATTATAAAAGGAAAAGAAAAGAAAGAAAAAAAACTGCACAAAATTTTAAATGAAAACTTTCTAAAACATTCTTCTTCCCACCACCTACCTCTACTAAACTACAGCGAGACTTATTTGGATTCTTAATCGAGTTTTCACCCTTTAATATAATCAATATTGAATCTATTGGGGAAGAGAGGAGTCTTCTTTGCACCACAGACCCCCAGGAAACACAGCTGCCACCTCTTGTGTTTCCATGTCACACGTGGCACTGCCCAGACACACCGGCCAGTGTGACATTCTCCTCTCCATGTCACAGTGCTTTCACCACTGTGCATGGACAGAGACTGCTTATAGGGCCCCTTTAAGGATGCTTTGCTAAGGACTACTAGGAACAACTGTCTAGTATTGCATTTCGGGACTAGAGTCCCCCCCATTTTCCCCTGGGGCAGAGGGTTTAAGGACAGAGATTTTCTTCTTCTCTGAAGATGGAGGGCATCCTCACATCCTCCTCAGCTCACTCTGTTCATTCCTGAACTGGTAGTTGCTGAAGAAGGTCTCTTGGCTCACCAATGCATCCCTTTAAAATGCAGTCCCTCTTGAAAGAAGGAGTGGTTCAGTTTATGGTAAATAAGCAGAATCCAGCCAAAAGCCACTCTATCATCTCCCCCCAACCTTCTTCTCTGAACGTCTGAGGTCCCAGGCTGTCTCTCTTTCTTTCAAATTGAGGAAGAGTAATATTTCATAAAGCCTTCATTTCACAGGAAAGGGTTAAAATTCCCAGACTCCCCGGACAGCTGAAATCTCGGCCCAGGACTCTGTCTCCAGTCTCCCACGCTGGGCATCTTCCCCCCCCTTCTCATTCTCCTTTGCCGGCAAGCTCCCAGGTGTCTGCTGGCTCTCTATCTCTTTTCCCTCTAGCTTAGGGGAGGGGGAACAAAAACATCCCAGATGTTCTCCACCCTTCCATCCGCAGGAGCTGGCCCAGCTCGGTTCCGATCCTTCACCCCCTGGCCTACCTCTGCAGGCCGCATGGCTCCCCTCCCCCACCCAGCCTGGACTGGGGGGGGGAGGTCCGTACCTTTCGATGACCAGAACCAAAGAAGGACGAGTCCTCCTGGGAATTCCGCTTTTAACCCCTCTGTGTTCTCAGAGGCGTGTCCACCTTCAGTTGGTCACCCCAAGTGTCAGTATCCAAACCTGACCCCTGACTGGATTGACCTCTTCCTTCTAAAAAAAAATTCTCTTCCCGTGTCAAACCATGACAGTATGACTTGCTGCTGTGTGGAAAACTAAATTGTTGCTGGAACTAAATAAACACCACATGAATCTCTAAATACAATTTCAAACACACTAAAGTGAGGTAAATAAATTTCATAATTACCCTGCAAGCTTAGCCATAAAATCTTGTTAGGATACTATTTTATACTCTTACAGCAACCAACATATTTGGTTTTGGTTTCAAAAGCAGTTTTCAGGGACTCTATGGAAACCGAGGTTCCATAACCACTTGCATTCTGAGCAATAGGTGGAAAGTGGGTGAAAATAATTTCCGTCTGATATTTACATTAAGAAAATAGGGTTGTCTCCAAGAACCATGCAATGTTGTGGAAATGCAGTGCTTGCTGAGTTGCACACTGCTCTGGGACACAGGCACTGATACAGAGCTCTCGACGGAAAGTGGCTTTAAAACAACTAATTAATGCAGCAAACTGAGAATAAAGAAAATACATCATCATGCAGTTTAATGCTCTTTTTCACTCTGGTGGCCAATAATGATGCCTTCAAATCTGCTACAACATCTTTCCATGAGGAAAAATGGGCAAATGCAGAAAGCTTGCTAAGATTAGAAGTTAATGCACAGGAATCATAGAATGGTTTGTGTTGGAAGGAACCATAGAGATCAAATAGGTCCAACCTCCTGCCATGTGTGTTGGAAGGAACCATAGAGGTCAAATAAGTCGAGCCTCCTGCCATGAACAGGGAATCTTCCACTAGACAAGGTTGCTCAGAGCTCCATCAAGCCTGGACTGGAACACTTCCAGAGATGAGACATTCACAGTCTGTCTGGGCAACCTGTTCCAGTGCCTCACCACCCTCCCAGTAAAGAATTTCTTCCTAATATCTGATCTAAACCTATCCTCTTTTAGCTTATAGGCATTCCCTCTTGTCCTATCACTGCTTGTCCTTGCAAAACCTCTCTGTCCAGCCTTCCTGTAGGCCCCTTTATGTATTAGAAGAATGCTGTAATTTCTCCCTAGACCCTTCCCTTTTTCAGGCAGAGCGGTCTCAACTCTCAGCCTGTCTTCACAAGAGGTGCTCCAGCCCTCTTGCCATCTTTATTGCTCTGTATGAACTTGCTCCAAGAGGCCCATGACTTTCTTATGGCTTATATATTCCTCTTAAAGTAGAGGGGGAAACTGGTGTCTAAAATACTATTCTATTTTAAAATTATATTTTATCTCTCTAAAATCTCAGCAATCCATGTCAACTTTTAAATTAGGTTTGGGCTTCTCTCTGCAAAATCAGCTGTATGAAAAATTTCTTCCAAAAATTTCTTTAAATGCCAAGTGCTGCTATTGTACTTGTATATCTGAAAGAATTATACAAACCATTATAACCTGTACTGTAAAGTTACCAAAAACCTTTATTGAGTATGTGAATTTAATCTCTGTATGCTGTTTACTTTATTACCATTTTAATTTTACTGCTTTCAAGATCATTAAGTAATAACAATTATAAATTAAATAAGGTAAAGCTGTTATGACCCATTGACTCAATTTGCAGAGAAGCTGGCTCTTTAACTGGCTCTGAATTTCAAGAAATGTGAAGAATGAGCTCAGAAACATAAATACCTAGAGAGACCTTGAGAGAAACTTGCAAAACATCTTAGAAATATAAAAGTTAAGGAAAGCTTTTATATTTGTAGACATCATGAACTCACAGATGCTTCATAACAGTCTCTCTCCTCACCAGAAAAAGATCTTTTGATGCCCCACACCCAAAATAATGGAGGCACATGTGATGTGACCATAATGGACTCCTCCTAAAAAATACAGTGGGAGGAAGAGTAAGAAAATTGTGATACAAAGATTTTTCTGGCTTCACCTTGGAGTTCTGCATTGTAGTCAAAGCTGTAACATGGTGGGACAAAAAGACTCTTCTTGTGGCAGCACAGAATGGGAGCAAATATGTGCAGGTTCCTAAGGGTACTGCTGACAGTGCTAGCCTAAAGGAAAGGCCTTAGATTCCAAATGACAGCTAAAATGTAAGCCAAAAGAACACTAAAGGTGGCCCAGGAAAGCCAAAATGAGTGGAAATTTGACTGTGAGAAAGCAAAGAAGTTGCTTCAGGTACCAAAAATCAGTAGAAACCAATTTTGTCCTTGTAGATACTTGACTGGACTTGTACTCATGGGGCCATAAATATCTTCAGAAGCATTTCCAGAACATCCCCTGCTGCACATGCACATGGCCCCAGACACTTACATGTAAAACTCTGCCCTTAGACTTTGATTTGAGTCCTTCCAATCCTGTTAAACAAGCAGCAGTCAGGGTAACACAAGGAGTACTGTTTGACTGAAAGAGAAACTCTTAGCCAGCTGCAGCCCAAAAGATTAATTGAAGGGTGCCCTCTCTTTAAATTTTTCCCATTGGACCATTTTATTTATTTTATTTTGTCCCCACTGAATTACAAAAATAAACATGCTTATCATTTCTTCTAACATAATCCCATTGCAAATACCACTGACAACTGATGCAGTAGAAAAAATGTTCCCTTGAGAATAATTACATAAATATTACCAGAAAATATTGCTTCCTCATTTTGCAGTGATGCTAGGTAACAATACATTGAAGCAGAGGAATATTATAAATAGTTTTAGATATCTAAAGGACAATTGAAAGGAAAAAAAGAGTTATTAAGCTATTCTGTATCTCCAGAGAGGGTAGGTAAGAAATAATGGTTTTAAACTGTAGCAAGGGACACTTGGATTAGACATGCAGGAAAAATTCCACAGGCAAATGTAGAATAACATGAGAACAGAGTGCCTTGGGGTGTTGTAGAGTCACTGTCACTTGAGGTTTTTAAGAGCAAGAGACAAACATCTGTCAGGAATGACACAAGGTATAGCTTGCTCCTGCTTTGGGGCATAGGGGAAGGACCACGGGGCTTCCTGGAAGTCCAGTCAAGATGCAGTATTTGGCAATGCCTAAACAGAGGGAGAAAATATGATGTGTTTAAAATCTATTTCAAAGTATTTGAACTGAGATTGGGTGAAACCTGTATTTTTTATTTTAATTTGGATCATAAATGACCTACAAATTATAAAACAAAATAGACATCCTGTAGATGTCTCCTGTCATCTACAATCAGGTTTCATTACATCAAATTCAGAATATCTTTTGCAGGAATATGATTTTAATACAGGTTTCCTACATCTGAAGGAATAAAATACAACTTTATAATGTAAAACGCATGTGCTATACTAAACGAATTCCTATCTTTAGAAGAATTTTGCAATCACTGGGGGAAAAAATGTGACATTTACTTTGCTTTAAGCTCATAGAACGTACTAGGAAGGAGAGATAGTTCAAAAGCTTTTATAAGTATTTCACCTGTAGACTGCTCCCTTGGTAGCTAATGTAGGTGGTTCACTGACTCATTTGGAATTACTTCACAATCTTGGATATATGGATGAAACTGTTTCATTAACACCTGAATTTTAAATGATGCATTGATCCAAGCACTACTATGAAATGGTTGCAGCTATTCTTTCAACAAGCTGGGTATTTGCAAAAACTAGTTGCATGAATGCCTGCTTTAATCTGGATTTTTTTTCATTCTCTGACTGCAATATTTTAAAAAGAAAAATACACACTCTTTTTATTACATTAGATCTGGAAAATAACCAAAGAAATGAATTTAGGACATCTTTTAATTAGTTGGATAACCATATAATTGGTCATAGCATGAAGTTTATCTATATGGGATATCTATGATACATACATACATATATACATACATACATACATACATATATACACCCACACCCACACCCACACCCACACCCACACCCACACCCATATTTATATATGTGTATATATATATATATATATATATATATATATATATATCTTTGGCTTTACCATATTGTGACATGAAAACTGACCTAGAAAACCTATCCAGAAACTCTTTTACACTTTGTTAGCTATGGCTTTACTCTAGTTACCTTCTGTCCAGTCACCTTCTACTGAACCTTTGGTGTTTTTGATCCCTTTGCACAGATTGTTAGATAGTGGCACTAGGAAGACAGATGTCTCAGCATGAGCTACTGGGAGAACCTTCACATGGTATGACTGAAACTGTCTTCGAAATATGGATGGGCTGCAAAACCAGAAAAAAAGGCGCATGAACTGTGACAGATCTTCATTCTCTGCCTCTTAGGTACAAGCATGAAGGAGTTTTTTTCAATCCAGACACTCCATTTTTTTCTTAACAAATATCTAAAAAGATATCATGCCAGACATGATCTCTTAGTTACATCAGTATTAAAACAACCCAGAGGATCTCTGACCACAATGATGCAGACTTTCTTTTGTGAAAAAGAAAAATAGAAAGATAAGGAAGAAGAGTGAGAGGGAAGGGAAGGGAAGGGAAGGGAAGGGAAGGGAAGGGAAGGGAAGGGAAGGGAAGGGAAGGGAAGGGAAGGGAAGGGAAGGGAAGGGAAGGGAAGGGAAGGGAAGGGAAGGGAAGGGAAGGGAAGGGAAGGGAAGGGAAGGGAAGGGAAGGGAAGGGAAGGGAAGGGAAGGGAAGGGAAGGGAAGGGAAGGGAAGGGAAGGGAAGGGAAGGGAAGGGAAGGGAAGGGAAGGGAAGGGAAGGGAAGGGAAGGGAAGGGAAGGGAAGGGAAGGGAAGGGAAGGGAAGGGAAGGGAAGGGAAGGGAAGGGAAGGGAAGGGAAGGGAAGGGAAGGGAAGGGAAGGGAAGGGAAGGGAAGAGTTCAGGTAGGAAAAGAGAAAGAAAGATTAATAACAGAAAGGTGGGAAGCAATGAAAGAGTGGGAGGAAAAGGTCCTTAGGCAAGACAGACAAAGAAAGTAGGAAACAGAAACGAAGGGACCTTATTAACAAATTTTCTCCTCTCAGAAATAGAAAAGATTTTCTGTGTAAGTCAGAATGCCCTGAGCTAAAACATGAGCCTATAGCTGTATGCATTTAGAGTACCTGCAGAACTTTTTATTCAGGAACACAGTCAAGCATCACAGTGTCTTAGGAAACTACCAGTCTCTCAAGCGAGAAAAGAAATTATTGGTGATTGCTTCAGGAGAACTCAGTTCAGTGGTAATAACTGAGGACACACTTTTAATATGGAGTAATCATTATATTTTGTGAAGACCAGTGAGTGAAAAATTTTCTGTCAAGAAAATATACCCCTCAATTCAAATCTCCAACCAACATGAGATCCCTCTTATATCGGACAGATGCACCCTGGTTCAATATAATTTACAATTATCCTTCATCTTAGCAGGAGAGAAGTAGCAGAAGCATGAATTCTGAAAATAAGACCATGAGGGAAAAAAAAATCAGATTTAGGGTTTTTCAATATTTGTTTAGGGGTTGGAATGAATCTATGCTATTTGGCACTTCCTTTGCATCAGCTTTGCCAAAGTTATTATTTCTATCCACCGTCTCCTCTACACCCTTTAAATGTCTCTCAAACATGTTGTTAATCCAGACTGATATACTACGAAAACATCTCAATTTTCCTATTTTGCTCAAAGCCTACCACAGTAAAAACTTGTTTTGCACAGAGTATATAGTTCTTTGGCAGGTTCAAATATTCAGGCCAATTGTAGTATGCCCACAAATCTCAGAAATCCTTTAGGATACAACTAAACCACTAAAACTGTAGGAAATCGTGTAGTTACATAAATATAGGAAGTACATATGCTTGTAAAATTACTAAAGAACACTATCTGTCATGAAAGTAATTCCTAATAGTGAGATTATTCTTTTGTCCAATTTGAAGCAAAATATTATCATTATATGAATACTGTTGAGGTACACACACTTCATGTCATGATGTGTCTGCATTTCAATGAGAATATGCTTTCAGATAATTAGAAAAGGGATATTTCTTTGCATACTTTACATGTTTTACAATTATTATTGTTGTGGTGGATATAGAACAGAACTCTTTATATTTTCACAATAATTTATTAGATCTACAATGTAGCCTAGGTTTGGAAACCATATATTATACTTTCTGCTTACTTAAGCATTGCCAATGCTCCTTGAAGAAATTTTTTTCCGAGAAGATTGGTTATTTTCAAAATAGCAATTGTGCTACTCTGACTGTACCATTCATTGTCTTGTCAGAACAATTTGAAATGTTATCATAAAATGAGGATCGATGCTAACATCAGGATTTAACCCCATACATAGATGTAGCAATATAGAAATCATTAATAATAATTTGGACAGCCATATTTCTTTTGAAAAACTCGTGAAATTAGTAAATGGCATGTTGCGATGACAAAGTGATCAATTTGACAGCTATGTCCCACTTGTTGCATAGTCTTTTATTCTTCATTCTCTTTTCCACACACTTAAATTCTTGCCACTATTGGATAAATACTGATACTAATACTAGTACTAATACTTTACCTCTTCCTATCCTGAATTAACAGAAAAGAAGATTAGAAGAATGTCTGGAAGAAAGAACTGTAGAAAATGAAGAAAAGAGCAATTTCCTATTGAGAAGAGCAACATTTATCAAAACATGCAGGACATATTCTGCTTCCATTAGCTGTAAGGGATACCTATTAGCACCACTATTCAGCTGCTTTTTTTTCCAGCTCCAAGGTCTCTTAAGTCAATATGAACACAATACACAAAATGCTTGCTGGTTGTTAAACATAATTCCTTCCACTTATACACCTCTCCAAACTTTCCTCAATGGTTGTTAGTGTAGGGTCCAGGTGGAGTTGGTGGCACAGCCTCCTGCAAGATGGGCATTGATTTGCTTCTAACCTTGATAAACACTGAAATTAGAGAGGAAAAGGCTTAGCAGATCGATGAGATAAGGGAGACAAGAGCTATGAATACATATTAAATTGAACTATTGTATCAACATAGACAGAAAACAAGGAGAGAGACCTATTAAAATCTCTCCAAATAATAAAAAAGATCCAGCTGAGCACATGGTGTAAGATGAATGTGAAATAGGGATCTGCTTGTCTATACAGGGAGGCTCTTTTTGATCCATTGCTCCCTGAATAGTTTGAATGTTTTTTCCCTGTGCACATGATTTCCACACAAACCTCTCTGGGTGCCAGGCCAACAGCAGGAATACTATCTGGATACAAAGTCCAGTGGAGATGATGTGCCTTGAGCACAGCAGGCTAAAATAAGAGAAAAAAATATTTTAGTAGCAGCAGTGGATTTCACAAAGCACTCCTTGCTTCTGTTCAGTAAAAACAGTTATCCTTTTGATTTATATTAAAATCAAACAAGATGTATGGAAAGCAGATAACTGTGATGTTGATGTCGTTATTATTAGAAAGATATTTACTGGTGCTTGAGTTTTACTTCAATGGAAATAAGAGATAATGTCAATGAAAATCTGTCAATTATAGTAAATTTTCATGTATAGCTATATACCTGTTTTCTTAAACAATTTTACTCATGAAATAAAATATAGCTTTTGAATATTCTGATCCCTAAGCAGTGAAAGGAAAACACTTTATTGCTTGTGAAGCATCACACTGTACATCTTGCCATTTTTGTATTTGTCCTTAGGCATCACCATGGCCAGTGCTAGAGACAAGATGCTGTGTTAGATGTGCATTTGTTCTGATTCACTACTGATGTATGTCCTTATGTCATTGTGACATTCCTGACTTTGAATACCTGAAATATAAAAAAGCAGAAGAAAATTTTCAAAGTAATGTAAAGAGCTTTTCCTTTGCTTTTTGACCTGCCTTACCAACAAATTTTTGTTTTTCTTTCTACAAAGTGAACAGTACAAAAGATGATCTGTTTTTGTGATTTTTACAACCTATTTTGTCTGTCAACTATATTTCCTGTGTCCTAATGGTATGCAGAAAAATAATTTAGTTATTTTTCACTAAAGCAATTTATTTGTTCCTAAACCATTACTTGTATTTACTTCTTAATACAATAGTAATTCTTCTTTCAGACTGTTTGTACATTATGGTAGTTCTACAGACTTCATTAGAATAATAGAATCAGCTAAGGCCCTATGGCTTGATTTTATCTCCAGCATAATATATAGTTTTAGATAATTTTATAGAGTGTATGGATGGTTTTAGTTCTATGTAAAAAATAGACATTTTATATCCTTTTTCCTTAAAAATAGTATTTTTTACATTCTCCCAGCTCTAAGACAGACAATTCTGAAGTTCTCCTGAGGTCCTTATATAGGGCCAGTGCTGAAATCTCAGTTACTGTCAAGTCATGTTAGCATAAAAATTGAAAATTTCCAAAGCAAACTACTTTTTTGGCAGATGATTAGTGGACAAGGCAAAGGCAATGGCAATTTTTTTTTTTTTTTTTTTTTTCAGTTAGGGATATACTCATTGAAGACATTTCATCTTCCACACATCTTGATTGATAACATTTTACAATTACACTGAGTCAGTGTAACACAACCAATAAGTACTTCTTAATAGCCTGGACATTCTCTTGCAAACATGGAAGTTCTCATTTTAAAAAAAACCTCTCCCTCCCCAAACTAGCCAATCAACATTCTGTGTACAGTGAAACTCCATTTTTAAACTTTCAAAAAGCAAAAGAGTGTCTGCTTATTTTTCTCCCACTTCCTTGTGCCTATTTATCCGACCTTGAGCACCTTTGCTGTTGCACAGCTCCATCTGTTCTAAGACCTGTTTGCCTTGATGTACTTTCTATCGTAACCACCAAGGTTACTCCTTGAAGGATTTATTGTTCTTTCTTATTTAGCAGACAAGGAAAACTATAAGAGTTGATAAAATGGTGGACAGATTGAGAGATCTGAGCTTGCTATTCATGAGGAATTTGGCTGGACTTGCACAGTGTGTTGCTCCCATTGCTGAGGCCTGGCAAGTTATAAGCAACTGGTTTGGCAATATGTCTTTTTCTTCTTTACTTCATGTGCAATTAATTTCCAGGAATCTTTAATCATCTCGTGCTGTGTGGATCCTTCTGCCTGTCCTGATATTTCTAAAACACCCAGGGACTTTGTCTCAAATATCTTCTTACTATGCTGGGTATGGGACTGAAATGATCATACTCTTACATCAATAACAGACAGTTCTGCAAAATCTCAAAAAATTGATTATAAAATCTGTTGCTGATTCATTCTTCTCTTGCTTTTGAAACGATGTTTGCTAAAAAATCACATTGCAGCAAGCATGAAATATTAATCTAGTCCTTCTTTATTGTACTCAGTTTCATCTGTGTAGCTGTGAGGATTCTGGGCAGGATGATATTCTCTTTGGCAGGGGTTTCGTTGACAGATGCTGGTATCCAAGTGCTTGAGAGCATAAGGGAATTTGAAGGAAGGAGATGGAGCAACCCTGGC